AATAAGCCAAAGAGGCCCACATCACTAATACAACATTTTGAAAATCATGTTTAAATTTATTACGTGTATTTAATATAATCTGGCTATACAAAAATATTATTTTAAAACTCTGTTAAATGGATAGGCATCCATGGAAGTATCTGTTTTGTGAAATTTCCTCTTCAACCAGAATTTTTCTCCACATTAACAAAACAAATGCCCGTGTGGATTATCCTCCAGCCACAAAATGATCATGTTATTGTAGACCTGAATGTTGTGGTGACATTCATTCATTAAGACATGATTCCACCAGACCATTAATATTTATAATTCTCAGCCATGGTACAATCAGTGTGAGTGAATGCATCCTTTGTGGTTCTAGAAACTGAACTCTAAATTTGGGCTGTTACAAAGAACACAATGCATACTTTGAAAAACATTGGGACAGATCCAGCCACACCCAGATTAAAGGCCTTGGTAACCTTTCTATAGAGAATGCATACCTTCTAAATGGCTGGGTGTTTATATTTGTTGAGAGCTACACCTGGCGAGATGTTTTAAGTTTCCTTCTATTATCTCTTCTTAACCTTTCATATTCTTATAGTCTTGTTTTTTCCTAAGCCAGCAACTAAGAAGCCCCTGATCAAATTAAGTCAGAAGCAGCCCACTGCATGAACCGAGTAGCCCAGGATTTGTCCTAGCAGCAGGACTGAGTGGGTGCCAGGTGTGGGGGAAATTCAAACCAGGTGCAAGTGAGGCAGAAACTATCTGGAAGTGTCTACCCATGCTGCCTGCAACTGCTTTCTCTTGGCATCAGAATCTGACTGCATGGGCCCAGGGTGGCTACCTGGAAACCAGCTTTTCTAAGAAAGGACTCTATCCAATAAATATTTTATCTGGAACTCTGGAGCTTCCTAATTCTACCAGGTATCTCTCTCTCTCTTATTTACCGATATCATTCGCTGGCCTGGCTACTGTGGAACTATATCTCCAAGTATTATTTTACCTACTGTTTTCTCTAGTCCTTACTATCAAAAATTACCCCTCATTCCAGGCACAGGACACTTTTATACGTTCCTCCCATCTTCTCATAGTTATGAGAAGTTACAGTTAGTCGTAGTTATTCAGCACATTCGTGCCCCTCCCCTGACTCAACCCATAACCATCTAGCATTCTGCATATCCTCAAATCAGGTGCACGCACAGTGATAAATTATAGTGATGGGGATACAAAGAAGAATGTCACATTTCTTACCCTTAAGGAGCTCAGATACTGAGGAGGTTGAGTACAGGAGATATTCACTCCACGGGTAATTGCAAGTCAATGCTGGCAACAGTGGCATTGGGTACAGGAGAACCCAGAGTTGGAGTGCCAACTATCAGGGCAGGCTGGGGTGGGGGAGTCATCAGGGACAGCTTCTGGAAGAAGTGACATCCAAGGTGGGGCATAAAGGATGAAGAAGAGTTGGATAGAGGTGGTAACAATGGCATCCTTTATGAGCAGACATAAAAAGCCATCAAAAACAGTAGGTGAAATTTGCAGAAATGAGGCATCAAATAAAAAGAAATGAGGGTAGAGAGATGGGTGGGGTCAGGTCATGGAGGTCATGCCTCAGTAAGAACTTAAATGTGACCCTTAAGATAATGTGAAGCCATAGTCAAGCTTGGAGCTAGGGAACAGGTGTCCTACCAGCCCACCTGAGAGTTCTGCACATTCACCACAGTTGCACACTGTGGAGCAAAGGTCCTTGGTAACTTTGTCCCACCAGACTCCTTGGACCTAGATTTTAGAATGCTCCAAAATAAAAAAGGATGAGCTTTTAAATTAAAAATACCTTCCTAAATGTCTGCATATGACCTTTTAAAATAACATATTATGCAGATTTCTCATTCACAGACAATGTGACTCTTAAAATAAGAACCATTTTTCTTTTTTGGAGTATTTTTGTGGTGAACTTCAAATCCATATATAATGTTTTCCACAAGATGTTTAATCAGTTTTATTGTCTATGAAGGTGGTAAGATACCTCTGGAAGGATATACGAGGAAGCAATAATATTGGTAGCTGATGGAGTACAAACTTTAAACATTTTGAAACTTGTGAATATATTTCATGTGCTTCTAAAAAAGCTAACCTAAAAAATGTTTTTGGCTAGCCATGATGGCTCACGCCTATAATCTCACCACTTTGGGAGGTCACAGTGGGAGGACTGCTTGAGTTCAGGAGTTTGAGACCAGCCTGAGCAAGAGCCAGACCCTCTCTCTACTAAAAATAGAAAAAATTAGCCAGGCATGGTGGCACATGCCTGTAGTCTCAGCTACTCAGGAGGCTGAGGCAGGAGGATTGCTTGAGCCCAGGAGTTGGAGGTTGCAGTGAGCTACGATGACACCATTGCACTCTAGCCCAGTGGACAGAGCGAGACCCTGTCTAAAAAAAAAAAGTTTTAAAAATAGGGAAAGACATTCAGGAAAAATGGTTGAAGTGGCGGTAAATTAGCCCGAAATACTCTTACTAAAACAGTCACTAAAACTTAATACTCAACCATTCAAATCCCCAAACTTAAATTCTATGAAGTCGTGTCTGTCTCCCTACAGTTGTGCCCTCATAACACGGAGGGCGGTTGCTGCCACAAAGGGCTAAATATTTGGTGACTGCTGAAAATACAGAAATCAAAATAGCCGATTATTGTTTGAAGACTTCTTTTCGATCTTGTGTGAAGACAAAGTCCTGCGAGGCTTCATTTTCTTTTGTTACCGTAACAGTGATTAGGTTTGGAGTCTCTGAGAACATTAACTGAAGGACACTTCAAGTTTCAGGGAAGGAGAAACCAGACCAAAGTCTGTTCCAGATGAGACCAAGGAAATGGGCACAGAAGCCCATGAGGGTGATGGGGGTCCCTTGGAGAAAGGACAGCTTCTGGCGACTCCAGTGAACACAGTGGCCCTCCCTGACCAGCCTCGCACGCTTGCTGTCTTCCCACTCTCTCTCCCTCCATATTCCTGCTAACCTTATTTCCAGCTCCAAGTAGTCAGGTGGAGCTTCCTTCTACAGCCCGCCTCATTTTTTCCACCCATGCTTATCCTGCCTCCCTTCTGGGATTCTGCAGGGAATTTGCTTCAGATATACAGGAAAGAAGAAATGGTCATTCCTTTTTTTCCTAGTATGAGAGAAACAGCTCAAACTTCAGGCCACACAAATCCAGGAGCAGATTTTGGCTTTGCCTGGGACAGGCTATGTGAACAACACGATCTTACGACTTCAGTATAAGTCTCATTTTCTTCATCAGGACGTGAGGATAACCATAGTGATGTCTTAAAATTAAAAGGAATGACGTAGACTATAACATACCTCACACAAACTATACCAACAAAAACAATAGTAAGGCCAAGTGTGGTGGCTCACGCCTGTAATCCTAGCACTCTGGGAGGCCAAGGCAGGAGGATTGCTTGAGGTCAGGATTCAAAACCAGCCTGAGCAAGAGCAAGACCCCGTCTCTACTATAAATAGAAAGAAATTAATTGGCCAACTAATATATATAGAAAATATCAGCCTGGCATGGTGGTGCATGCCTGTAGTCCCAGCTACTTGGGAGGCTGAGGCAGGAGGATTGCTTGAGCCCAGGAGTTTGAGGTTGCTGTGAGCTAGGCTGACGCCATGACACTCACTCTAGCCTGGGCAACAAAGTGAGACTCTGTCTCAAAAAATAAATAAAATAAAATAAAATAAAAATAAAATAGGTATTTGTACATAAAGGGTTAACACTCACTACACTATGAGAAATGTTGGCTCACTTCCCCCACCTACAAGTCTTGGTGACCTGACAATTTAGCATCTGTCCTGGAAGAGCCTGTGCCTCTGTTCCCAGCCACCTTACCCATCCTCCTTCTGCCTCTAAGTAGACTTCTGTGACCACCACTCTAGTTTAGCTCTTAAGAATGCTGAGTTATTAGGGAACCACGTACGTCTTACTGCTTTGAGTCTGCTTTCAGACACAAAGGTAGCTTCCAGCAGCATTCAAAAGTGTGCCAATGATAATAACACTACACGTAAGAGCCGGGAGTTATTTCAAGAAGGGCAGGCATAGGGCCACCCTCACATAGGACTGACACCTACAGGCATGCTGGCCCAATACTGGAAACAAGTGTATTGAGACATCACCAGAGAGACGTGCTGCCTGTGGGAAACAGAATTTGGAAAAGGAACCCAGTCCTAAACCGAAGAGGGAGTCTGATGCTCTTTTCTGTCCCCAGCTGCCTGGCGTACCTTGGACCCCTTTCCAGATTATCATAAACAACTGAAGAGACCTCACAGTATAGACAAACAGGAGGATGCAAACTGGAATTTCTAATAAAAATCTAAGCGTTAAAAAGTGAGAATTCTCTTTGGATCGATTCCAGCTAGAATCTCTCTCTGTAGGTTTCAACTCATTGTTACCTGCTCCTCTAGGCTAAAATATCAGGCTAGATTTGCTGACCCAAGATGAACTGAGACTTGGCTACTCGTTCAGATCTTAGACCACTGACATTCAAGCTGGAGTGATAATTTATAAACATCCAAATAGGCTTCCGAGATTATAAAAACAGCTACCCCATAATAGCGCCATGACTTTTGAGCAATGCCTGCATCAACGAAACAGTGTATAACATCCCTCTAAATGAAACATCACCTGTTTCGATTCATAAATTCTAGAATGCTTATTTTAAAAAAATAACAGCTGTGCTTATCAATGACTATGAAAACTATTCATTGAAAAAACAGCTAAGAGTCAGCACCTATGTGATACACAATCAGCGGTAGTTTTGCCACAGTGACAATAGCTCAGCATTTCTTAGATCATATCTCACATATTTATAAGAGAACAAAGTCAGCGCTAAGCTGTTGCTAAAAGCAACTAAGCTAAAAATTTTCTAAGTATTTGATTTTTAAAAAAATAATTTCAAAGGAGTCCTCCGGAGAGAAGTAGAATGTTAGCAAACTCCATCCATGGAGAGGAAGAAATGGGAAAGGGCAGTAGTGCCTACCTGGAATCCTACTGAGTGTCACCCAGAAATGCTCGTCAGGACTGTAGGTATCTTTTGACCACTGCAGTAAATCAATGGCCCTTTTGTCATGGAAAACAAAGTTGACAAACTCTCTGGTAAGGGCCACATAGGCAGTGCCAAAGTAGATGGTCAGCTGATGTGGAGGTGAGGCTTTCAAAATTTTCGTTTTTCTCATAAAAGAGCCATCTTTGCCTATGTGCTCTCGGTGGACATACTTGGTCCGTCCAATTGCGTGATCGGGGGGCAGCACCCCTGGGGTAATGTTTTTCCCTTTAAATCCTTTCAGGTGCTGAACTATTTCCCTGTTGGTTTTCAGGGGGAAGTCTTGCCCACAGGTGTTGATGGCATACTTCCAGGGAACCTGGGAGGCCACCAGGTCTTGCAGGCAGTTGAGGTCGGCCTGGAGCCTGGAAATTCCTGCGTAGACCACAGACTCTACCTTTGACGCAATAAAAGCATTTTGGAAACAATTCAGTAACTGCCGCACAGATTCCTTAAACTCAGCGGGGGCCTTCTCATCCACGTGAACGCAGTAGACATTTTGGGGCATATAGACAGCCCTGAAGAGCCTTTCAAAAGTGTCCAAGTCCTTGTGGATGACCATGACATACGCCAAAGGGAAGGCGACTTCTTCTTCTGACAGGGGACTTGTGATATAGTGATTCTGGGTCAGGTAGTCCTTGCAGGGGACACTTCCCAAAGGTAATGGTAAGGTATTTTCCCACAAAAAGGGTGGCTCGTCTTCTAAAGCAGAATTACAGGCATCTGTTCTGAAATGCCTTTCTCTGGAACGGTTCAGCTTCTCGTAACTTTTTGGTGGGCTCAACTGTCTGTTGTAAAATATCACACAAATAACCACACTGAACACAGTGAAAGCAAAAAAGTAATACCTCCAAAAGTTCATTATTTTTCACTTCCCTGGGGAAGGAATCTCTTCAGGGATTGAGAAATGATCAGTCCCTGAAACTATGAGCCTGAGAGGCTGAACTGACTGACTCTCTTGCCAGTCCTGAATTCTGACAGCCTCTCCAGAGTGCCGGCTTGCTCCCCCGAGTCCTTTAATCCTCACGTACGCTCCGCTTCAGTGTCCTGTCCATGCCTTGGGGGCTGGCTGGAGACGAAGCCTCTCAGCTGCGCTCCGGTCCTCGGCTCCTCCGAGCTTAAATCCCTGCTGTTCCCAGAGGCTCAGCCCAGCCCAACCCAGCCCCGGGCAAGCCGCCTCATTTACCTACGAAATGCAAGTGGTGGATCTCGGCAAATTACATCCTGGGAAGGAATGACGGGTCCTTTTCACTGGAGCAGAGTTTCTCTGGCTCCCCCCACCTCCCCTCCATCCAATCCGATCTGATTTCCCTTCTCTTCTCACGTTTTCTCCATGCCTTCTAGAATAAGTGGCTCTATTTTTTTCTGGCTAGCCCCACAACCTGCTAGCAGTGCTTGGAAGCCACAGCATTTAGGATGTTTGCTCCTCAAGTTTTATTTCTCTTCCTATTTCTCTGCCACATCTTTTCCTTTCAGTGTTCCCTCTACTCCTGGGCACCAGACACTGAGAATGAAGAATGCATTTGTAACACGTCTAAGTAGAATATAATCAGCGGCAAAAAAATCTTTGATGGTGAGGTTCACTGGATTAGATTAGATTCTAATGATGTAACATAACACGTGTGGGGTGTGTGTGTGTGTGTGTGTGTGTGTGTGTGTGTGTGTGTGTGTGTGTGTGTGTATGTACTGAACTATGGGAAGAGGCAACCAGGAATTACACCCTTGGGGGCACATGATAAGGGCAGAAGGAATCTAGGAGTGACTTTTCACATTAAAGGGTCAGTGTTGATATCATATAATCAAGTAAACATACCTTAGTTTGCATGTCAGGGAGAAACGTGATAGTCATTGTTCCCAGAGAGCAAAAGTTGGTTCCCATTTCACAGAGAAAGCTTCAGATGACTTGAGCTCTTGGCATAGTATTGTCTATAATATGTGGAGTGACTAGCCACTGGGTCGAGTTTAAAAGCCTGACATCTTTAGATCTGAGGTCATTTCATGGAACTCAAAAGCTTCTCATTCTCCTCCCCATCCAACCCCCTTCTCCTACTTCCTTCCTCTGAAAAAAGAACGAAATCTTCAGGGCTGCCTTGAGATTCCTGGAAGCTTCAGTCAGTGTAATTCCGAGGAACCGGGAAGAGCAGGTCTGGCCACATTACAGAGGGGTTCTCGCAGCTCACGTGCTGCAAGCCCACGTGGAGTGCTGGGGTGCACTGGGGGTTGACGCAGGTGGTAAGGACCCTTCTGGGGAAAAGGTTAGTGGTCCAACTAAAATATGTGGCAGCCGCCCAAGGAGTGGGTCCTGCTTCCATCTCACTTCTGAAGTCACCCTGCTATCCTACCTGCCTGGGCATGCAGCAATGGGAACAGCTGCTCCTGTTAGGAAAACATTTCCGTGCATAATGCGGCAACCTCCCTGCCCCCTCCCTATCCCACACCACCCCTTAACTTCCTGTAGTTCACTGTATGAATGAATGGCAATAATTTGGATATTGATTAGGAGAATTGTCAGGGCTCTTTGAGATCACCCAACACAGCCCTTTGTTTTACAGATGAGGAGACAGGCCAGTAAAAATATTCTCTCCAAAGTTATTCAGCTACTGGTAGCTAGAAACCAGAGCCTTAATTCTATAGCTCCCTAGTTCAGATGCTGAAGCCATTCTATTTGGCTAACTCCCAGCTGGTCACGGTGACCAGGGTAAAGTTACTTCACCTCTCTACGGACCACGTTCTCCCTCTGTGAAAGGGTAAATTACAGTGGCTTCCATTTCACACGGTTGTTAAGAAGATTAAATGGGATAACTTGTTCAGGGTTTAGCAGGAATCCAGGCACCTGGTGTATGTTCCATAAGCATTACCTGTGATTATTGCTATTGTTGCTGCTCTTTTGAAAAATACCTTAACACTTCTGACACTGCGAAGGAACTGATATTTTTATTTCTGTTCTTAGAAATGGGAAAGAAAAACATTTGTCTTCAGGCTTTCAAATGAGTTGATTTATTCCCGAAGGGAAATGTTAAATTCCACCTTTTTTCTTCCTCACAGCCACTTCTCCATCTCATAACACACACACACACACACACACACACACACACACACACACACACACGCACGCACGCACGCGCGCACGAAATGTGGCTATATGAAGAAAACAACTGAACAGTCCATTCTGATTCCTTCACAGCCCTTCATTCATACAAGAACCACACCCTATTCTGCAAAATATGTCCTTGGCAGGACTTGTGGAGAACAGGAAGGAGAAAGCCTAAGGCAGAGGGGGAAGCAAAGGGCTTTCATGGAGGTTCAGTCTGGTTTTTTCCCTGCCCTGATCCTGCAGTAAGGAGCTCTGGTGGACACCAGTGCCAAGCAAACTGAAGAAATCTTTCATTGTGATTTAATCCAAGCAGATTGCAAGGGGGGAATGGCAACTTGATTGATAGTTCAAAACAGCATTATCAAAATAAATACATACATAAATAAAACAACCTTCCTCCTCCAAATCACATATATGGTTTGTCCTGGCTTATTTACGACGGTTTAGATGAACAGACTGAGATTAGAACCTGATGCTTTCTGATTGGCTGGCCGAAGCAGTTGGTTTGTTTTGCCTGGTATCTGTGGCAACTGAACAGGCATTTCTTCCAGAAAATAATTGGGTGGGCTAAGCTATTAACCTCCAGCCAGGACATTATTTCTGCTCCTGTTCACTCTAGTTGGCTTGACGTAGTGGACATTCCCTGTGACTCCTGGCCGCTCCCTGCCCCAGGGTAACCTTTATGGTCACAAACAAGGAGACGGCACTAGCACCACAGCTAACAACACATAGTCGGCTGATGGAGCTCAGGAGATTTCACCCCAAAATATGACTCCTTTGTATAGAGTATTTTGAATTTAAGGCGCTTAGAGATCAATAGGCCCTGGGCTGGGGCTTCCCCTCTATCTGCATAACCGGCCAGTCCCATCAAAAAAGCAATGGACTTTCCTTACCCTCCCAGTTATCTCACCTATTGCAGGAAAGAAAATCAAGAATGCAACCAGACCTGGCCCAAATCATTTTAAACATAATACCTGTCTCTCAGGTTAATTTACAAGTCAATCTATTCCCCCTCCCCATCCATTCATTCTCTCAAGAATCCATTCAACCTCCCTAGCAACCATTTATTGTCCCTAAACAGAATTACTTATACTCTTCATCTCCCCCTCCCCCTAAAAGACCAGCATACATATTCTGGTTTCTGTTCAGATCCTATAAATCTTTTGCCTTTTAAAAGGCGGGTATAAAAATGTCCCCATCCCATTGGGATACTGGGTAATCACTCTGCGATTCTCCCCGGCTGCATGGTAAATAAACCTCTTCCTCTTATTAATCAGCCTTAATTGTGAGTTCATCTTTCAGCAAATTTTGAGGGGTGGGGAGTTTCCCCTCACCCCCACGCAGCTGAGCTCAAACATTAAAACAAAGGGCTGGCCATCTGGGGGGCCTCTGTGTACCTGGCGAGTTCCCAGTTCCCTTACTAGGACTCAGTTCCAATTAACCTCAATGAGCTTTGCTTCTACCCCAGCCGGGCTGACCAAGGCAGAGGGACGCTGGTCAGTGGCAGGGCAGGACTGGAAGCTGCGTCTGACCTGCTCCCAGATGCCCGCCGTCCATCTCCCTGGCACAACCACTGGCTGCTGAACCAAAGCAAAGCTTTTTGATGAGTCATCCCGTGAGGCTTTCTAATGGGCTGATTTATTCCCAAAGGTTAAATTCTACTCTTTTCCTTCCTCATTGCTGCTTCCCTTCATCTCATTCCATCCTGCTCTGTGTCTAAGGCTTTGGTTGTGTCAGTCTGGCAACCTCAAACTCTTGCCACAAGTGAGACACAGGAAATAAACAAAAAAGATCTCCAAGCAACCAAAGCAAAGATCACACACTGTAGGCTGGATTCCGGAACTCAAATGCGTACGGGCAGGTAAGACCGGGTGAAAGAATCCACAGACGGTGGCTAACACTTGGCCAGGCCTGGTGGACGCTGAGGAGGGTGGGGACCCTGGGGAATGACGGAGGCTGCACCGCCCTCCCCCAGCCCTCCTAGGCAAGCTGCCACCCTCAGCGTCGGCAATCAGGGCCACACGGGATCCAAAGGCGGCTAGTGCTGCCGCTCTTCCGATGTTTTATAAGTGAGAAATCTGAATTTTTATCAGAAATTCCCCAATTTTAAAAATGTTATCAACTAATTAACAATTTTTTAAATAATAAGTACACACACACACACACACACACACACACACACAAGCCTGAGGATTGCATTTGGCTCACAGGATGCCAGTCTTATCTTTGCTTTAAGCATCAAAGTTCAAGTGCTTGAATTCTGTGAAAGGACTTGAAAACTGAATGTGAAAGGACTTGAAAACAGAAGATCAGCACACACAATGGGCCAACCCAGACTTTCTTTGGAAACAAGCATAGTACAAACATTTACAGAAATCGAAATATAAATGTATTCATAGATATCTTATATATATTATATTTAAAATAAAACATTCTATTTAAAAGGGCATTCTGAAATGTTTATTCAAAATAGTGGGCTTATTTTTTCATTGAGGCATTTTTTTAATGGCAGAACGCAGATAATAGATTGGGGTAAAGGTTTTGTAAGACTGATGTTTAATATTCCTACTGTGCAGAGAGATCCTATAAATTAATAAGAAAAAGTAAACAACCAAGTAAAAAACCAAGTAAAAAAGTAAACAACCAAAAGAAAAGTAGAGTATGACAATCACAAAGCAGAAAAAGCAAATGGCCAATGAACACATGGAAAAAGACCCTTTTCACACTGGAGGTCAGGGCGATTCAGATGAAAACAAAATTAATATGCCATTGTGGGGAATTCCTGTAGTTTTCTGTTGCCTCCGCATCCATTCCAACTATAAGTTTATTCTTTTCTTACAGAAGCAGGGCTCAGGCACGCTTGACTCAGTTTACAGTCATCTACCTCCTCCCAGCACCTTGTGTGGTTGATCGAGATAATCTCCCTTGTATGACCGCGGCCTGGCAACCACCTCCCCATGGGACAGCTGGATACAACCTACCTGACTCACCCCACTGACCCACACCGTGCATGGACCCTGCACACGTGCGTGCCACAGTGAGTAGCGCTCAGTCGCAGTGTGACCCCACGGAACTCACGTCTGCCTGCTCCAAACCCAGCAATTAGAACTGTCTTTGGGAAACTCCCCTTAGTCATGCCTGGGACCCCAGTACAGGCTTGGGGCCACGGGTCCCACCCTGTCTCTCTTGGCCGCACCTGCTGACTGAGCATGCATGTCTCAGACAGCACCCCCTTCCCGTTGGCCTTGTGAGGTGCCCTCTTCTCTCCGGGATCTGTAAGTAATAAACTGTTTCTGGGGTTCCACGTGTTCTGCTGGGCTGCCTCGTCTGTGTCTCACCTGACCAACACACCTGGACTCACTTTCCTCCTGGTCAGGTGTCTCCTAGAGAGTGGCTACCTTGGTAGGGATAAACTGGACACAGGTCAGACAAGAGCCCCGGGGGCATCTGCCAGGATAAGCAAGTTTCCTGGGAGAGGGACACCTGGTCACAGGTTGGACACTTAGGCAGTAGGCTGCCCACCAGGGTAAAGCAGTATCTGGTGAAAGGCACACCGTAAACACCACGACCACCTCCCCTGGAGCCACATCCGGGCAGGGCCAGAGTTTATAGCCAGAGAGAGACTGCAAGACCAGATTAGAAAGAAAAAAAATACAGCAGCCATTTTGTCACCCATTAAATAGGCAGACATTTGAAGAATAGTTGCAAGTGCTGGCAAAAGTATCCACTGAAGGGAGTTTGAATTGCTAGAACTTTTAGGGGAAAGAAGTTGTTTTAAAATTTTTTATAAAAGTGTGTATGTGTATATATTCATCAAAAGTACACCTCAGAATGTTCTTAGAGCTAAACAGATGGGAAGTCACAAATTAGAAGAGGGATGTGGAACTGGCAGATTCACTGGTCTACTGGACATAGGTCAGACAAGAACCCAGTTCCCACCACCCTCCCACATGCTTCTGCGCTTGCTTCTTGCAGTATTTTCTCCCTCCCTTTCTGACTGTAGCAATCCCTCTGAATCCCAGCTCTTCTTTCTCTGCGTTTCTCTCTGGCTCTCTGTCCCCAGGTCTCTGTCTCTGTCCTATTCTCCGGCTCTCTCACTTCGGAGCTCCCCCAGCCCAGCCCTCCAACTCCCTTAAGCCTTTCCACCCCCTCTCAAATCCCTCCTCCTCAGCCTCCCTAAAATAGTGGTTTTTTAATTAATTATTTTGTGCACAAAAGGGTAGACTTCAATTATTAATATCTAGAAAACTCACAGTTATGACAAAACAGTTCCCATTCTACCTCAGATGTCAGCACTTCCTCCAGGAAGGGCCAGGTAGTTCCTATCTTAGGCTTGTGGCCGTGTGGTCTCTGCTGCAACAATGCAGCTCTGCTATTTATCGTAGCATGAAAGTAGCCCTTACAATACGTGGTTGTATCCTAATAAAACTTTCTTTATGGACCTGAAATCTGAATTTCCTATCACTCTTCATGTTATGAAGTCATCTTCTTTTGATATTTTTTTCCAACCACATGCACATGGAAAACCATTCTTAGCTTGAGGGCAGTGCAGAAATAGGCCAGATTTAGCTGAAGGGCTATAGTGTGCTGAACTCTGCTCTAGATTATAATCATACTCCTCTAGGCCTAAATTTTGCAATTTTGAGATCTGTGCACTCACCTATAATTTCTGTGGTTTTACAGAAGAGAAAGTGTGAAATGAGGAAAAATAATAAGGTTGATCATTTTCATACCCACATGAAAGCCTCTTTACATACACCATCTGGGTTGCAGTGCAAAGTGCTGGATTTGTAGAGTGTGGACAAGTAATTTACATTCTTAGCCTCAGTTTTCTTTCCTATAAAATGGAGGTAATAGAAACTACCTCACAAGGCTGAGATTTAAATGGGCTGGTGGGTGTGAAAGCATACACATATATGTTATCCTGGTACCCAACTGAACCTGGTTTCTGCTGGAGGTGACAAGGGACCCAGGAGTATACATGCCAGGGCAGAGTCAGATGCCACTGCAGAGCCACTCTGTATGCCTCAGTTTCTTTTCTGCATCTATAATATGGAGATATTAAGAACACTGACCTCATAGGGTTCTTAAGAGACTTGAATAGGCTAATACACAGAAAGGGCTTAGAACAATGCCTCGCACATAATAAGTACTTGACAAATCTCAAGACATCTCTCTGTTGCAAACCAGGCTCATAGAAGACCCTGCGCACCCCGACCACCTTCCTAAGTAGGTTTGGTGGAGGCAGAACAGCTGGGCATGCAGGGGTCACTCTGCCACCTTAAAGATCCCTAAGTACAGGCGGGGGCCCTGGAGGCCACCATAATCACCGGCAGCACCAGCCTCTTCTCTCTCTCCCCACCCCACTGAAGGGAACTGCCCTTCATTCCCAACTGCAGCCTCTTGAGCCTGTTCTTTGAAACAGCCTCTGACTTGAGTACTTCGGAGAGCAACCTGCTGGTGCACGCTGCAAAAAGCTAGCGATGGAGGCTGGAGTATAGCAGGGTGCTTTGGAGTTGAAGACCAGGTGTAAATCTGGCTCTGCTGCTTACTGTGTGGCCGTGAGACAATTTCTTGATTTCACTGTGCCATAGCTTCCCAAGTCTTGAAAAACAGTAGAAAGTCTACCCAAGTGGTGGGAAATACATCTAAGAAGCCTTTTCTAGCCTCCCTCTGTCATCCCACCTGCCCCCACCCCAGTTTTCCTCGTTCTTCCAGGGTCACGCTGATTTTCTCCACTTCCCTAGCAATCCCACTGGGGGAGCAAATTTCTTTTCCTTCTGGGGTTAAGTGCCCGGCTGTTAACTCTAATTGCCCCAGCAAAACGAAAACAACAACAGAAAAATAAGAAAACAAAACAACTTTATGTTTGGCTATATTCTGTTAAATCTCAGGGAACAGCACAGGTAACTATTTGTCTTCTTGTGCAACTTTTCCGTGACTCCAAATATATCATCTGAGAAAAACATTGCAAATTCCAAGAGGCAGTATTTTGCAATCCAGATGTATCTTAAAGATCCCAAACTCTTTATCTTCTGAACACTTTCAAATAAATAGAAACAAAACAGTTTTAAAATAGAGATAGGCAGTGATTTCCTCCAACTTCTAATTTTAATAGTTCTATTAAATTCTTGATTTGTTTTTCATTTATTCAATCCACTCTTATACTAGTTCTTTCCCACAGAGAATGTCATTTGCTTGAGTTTAGACAGTTTGTTAGGGCAGAGTGCTTGGATAAATCCCAAAAAACAGATGTTTCTTCTGCTTTCCTAGAAATTAAAGCTGAAACAAATTCGCCTCCAAGATATGTCCTGTGCTTATTATAACTAATTGAAGACAATATTTTGCGTTTGATTTTCCCACTGGGTAAAGTAGTTTTAAATTTACCCATCTATTAGTTTAGATGACATCCTTAAACTCTATACTCTGTCCTCAAAAACGGTGGGAAAATTGTTATATGAGTAGGCTCAGTCCTGGTTTGCTTCGGTTGGGCCCCTCACGGCTGACTCCGCAGTTTCAAATCACTAGCCTTCGATGCATTGTAACCTACATAATGGAATGGTTTTGATGATCACTTTTTCCAGTGTTTTTTTTTTTTTTTTAATGAGACAGAGTCTCACTCTGTTTTCCAGGCTACAGTGCCATGGCATCAGCCTAGCTCACAGCAACCTCAAATTCCTGGGCTCAAGTAATCCTTCTGCCTTAGCCTCCCAAGTAGCTGAGACTACAGGCATGTACCACCATGCCTGGCTAATTTTTTCTATATATTTTTAGTTGTCCAGCTAATTTCTTTCAATTTTTCTAGTATAGATGGGGTCTCACTCTTGCTCAGGCTGGTCTCCGACTCCTGAGCTCAAACAGTCCGCCCGCCGTGGCCTCCCAGAGTGCTAGGATTACAGGTGTGAGCCACCGCACCTGGCCTTTTCCGGTGTGCTTATCAGTGCTGTTCCATGGAACATAAATATTTCTCCCTCCAGATATGCCCTGTGTGTGGGAAAGTGAGCAGAAATGGGGTAGCTGACCAATGTCTCCGTTTGCCTGGGACTGAGGATTTTCCCAGAACACGAGATTTTCAGTGTTAAAACTGGTTAAGTCCTGAGCGAGTCAGGAAGAACTGGTCACCCTAGATACCCTAGGTCCCACCCACTCCTGGATTGAGAATCACTACTGAAGGTACTGCTGATTACAGACTATTCAGTAACTGATCAGTGGGAAAGGAACAGAACTGTTCAAACCACTGATCTCGGCGGGGTTGCAGGGGTGGAGCAGGGCAAGCACGCACACATCACTAAGTCTTCGGTGCGGAAATCTCTTCGTGATCCTTCCTCACGCTTCCATGAGCCACTGAGGCATGGGGACAAAGTGATTAACATTCATGGGATGGCATTACAGTGGACCCCAAAGAATGCGTTTAAATCATGCTAACTACACAGATGTTCCCCGGCAGATACAGGAAGGTTTTGTTAACAACCTAAATAATAATGGAGGACCTAAAGAGATAATAATTATTATTATTATGGGGTTACTAGTATCTAAAATTCCCTCCCTTCCACACCTCGTGTGACTTGACAGATTTTTCTGTATGAAGTAGGATTAACAGAAAAATACAGGATTTTATGAATGGAATGCTCATTTTAAAGTTTATTTTTTTAAAAATAGGCAGTAAGTCTAGAAAATGTAAACTCACTTTACAGAACGGGGCAATCAGGCAGACTTTTGAGCTCTCTGGCTCACAATTTCCAAATTTGTACAACTTTAGGATTGGAACTAGATCCCCTCTCAGGCCCTCTTTGGTACTGAATGCTGCAATTATTCTAGATCCAGCATAAAGAGCAGACTATTTTTACAGGAAAACTGTATTTGGGAAGCTTGGTTTGGATTGAGTACTTGACAGGGAAATTCCAGAAAGTGGTAGGGTAATATTAATAGAACAGAGATAAATCAAGAAGCTTTTGAAGTGGGGAAGAGGTCAGCTAGCTCACACAGACCGAAATCCTGGGAGAGGAAAAACCAAACAGGCACGGGTTTGAGCTCCCC